TAATTGGATGAACAAAAAGGAAACAAATTTTCGCCGACCAGAATTTTCCAAGAGCACCTTCTAAGTGTTAATTACATTATAAAAACTAAATACCGTGAAAAGGCTTTATTGATCTTCAGTTAGTTAATCAGTCACTCAGCCAATGTTTAGTTTTATTTATATAAATGTCGTTTGAATAATTAATTTTCAAAGGACGATACGTACTTTTCCCCAAGGGCAATCTATTCCTGGAATTTGAATCTTTTTCAATCTGAATGATTATCGAAATCCCTTTCAAAGAAACCATCCTCGACTAGTTAAGGGGTTTCTAGTAAAAAATGTAATGCCAGTACGAGTCGCTGGCGCTATCTATTTGTAATTCTGGCTGGACTTCTTAGAACTACATTTGTGAGCGGACGCAAAACACTTAACAGCTAAAAAGGACTTTGCATTGGCAATGAGCCCGCCGCCTAACGGTAACATATGCAAAATGGCGCCGTTCTTAAAGACGAAAACTAAAAAAGAAAATGGAAAATCGTAAACTAGCAGCCTTAAGCTTAAAGTGAAGCAGCAGAAGCTACCCACGTTTCCACTGGCCGCTTGATTGATGTGCGGATGTTAGACAGCTGCTCGCCCACTCGCGTGGGGCGTTGCCAGACCACAGGCAGAAAAAATTGCCACAGTGATTGTCAAAAAAGGGTTCAAATGCCCTGCCCAGTCGACCTATCCTAAGTCGTACGCAATGATTGTGTTTTAAACAGACAGCAACAAAAACTGTAACAGAAACTTCATTACGTGTCGTCCCATGGTGCTCGGCGTGCTTTTGGGGCTGGCCCCAAAAATTAATTGTCTGCTCGGGCCAAGTCGACAGCTGCCATTTCGGGGTGCCCTCGATTTGCTATGCGTAGACATGTCATTGCTGCCCGTAACCCTCAACCCTCCTATCTACGCTCATGTGCAGTTCAGGTGGGTAGCTTAAAGATTTATGATAAAGTCAGGCAAATGCTTAGCAAAGCAAAAAACTTGTCCAAAGTTTGGCATGAGATTTCTCAATGGCTCATTGCGGCTCGTTTATCTATGTATGAAATGAATGAATCTGAGTGCCTTCTAATCAGAGCGGACGTGTTCCACAAATCAATTCCAACGAGATTTCAACAAGATTTCAAGGCAAACGTATTCCAAAAACCAATTTCTACGCGTTTTCAACAGACAAATTTTACCGTTGTCTAATGCAAATGTGTTCCATAAATCAATTCTACTTCAAAATCTTTTACTACAAATATATACACTTTCTATAAAGTATCTTTGTTTGCAAACGCAATATATTAAGGTTAAAAATTGAAAAGCGCACATAAATTAAAAGAAGGCGCATTTCTCCTGCTGACCTTTCCACTAGATGGATATGAATTCGATTATTATAAAAACAATTTAAATTCATTTCATACATTTATACTCGAATATAACCTAAAACTTAGCTTGGCGATTTTAGATTTCGAATTGCGGAACAGCTTGTACGTGATAAACTCAATAGAGCTGCGACACATGCTCCAAAAATTTGTTGTTTTTGTTTAAAGCTGTCCCCAGTGAATCTCATCGCCTCACTTCCTCCCCTCCCCCCCCCCCCCTCTCCCTCTTTCCCTCTCTTACGCTCTCTTTCACACAGCAAGAGACACGCCTCCTGGTGCGTTTCGCAGCTTAAGCGCTTAAAATGCTTTTTGACAACAACAACAACAACAACAACGACAGCAAAGAGAATTGAAATGATAAATTTGCTTTTATCCCGCTTTCTATTGCTCAGCGAACTGTTGTTGTTGTTCTTTGTCTCCTATTTCTATCCTAATCCCATGTACAGTTATGCACCTCTGTCGCTGCTCGCCGCTCGCCATCTCTGTCTGTCTGTCTGCATGGGCTGCTGCTGCTGCTCTTCTTCTTCTTCTGCTTCTACCTATTGTCTTGTAAAATTTCATTGCCTACTTTGCGACGCTTTCGGCAAAAATCACAGCGCCGCCAATTTGCGCTCAATTAATTATGCTGTTTATTTCTCGTTAGTTGTTGTTGTTGCTGCTGCTGTCTTCTTCATTCGCTCGTTTTTATTATTATGATTATTATTATTTGTGGCCATACTTTTGATTTGCGGCCGCCTTTGTGTTTTATTACCCATTGCTGTTGGCGTTGCCACTTAATTTATTTTCGCTGACGCTTTGCGGACACTTTTCATAACTTTTCATATTTGTTTGGAAAATTCCGTAAAATTTAATTTGATTTGTAAAATTTTTGCAGGTTTTTCGATTTAGCTGTGCTGTGGGGCGTGGCAGCAATTGCACTTATCATATTAATTATGTAATCATAATTAGCGCATTTGTCGGCCCCGGCACAAAATGCATTATACAAGTATTGTGGGCCAGAGGGCGTGGTTGGGCGAATATACTTATACACCGGTCAGCGGCTTGATTATGCAGGAATCTCCATAAAGTGTGTTTACAAGTGCTTTGCCTGCAAGTCCTTCAGTTGCCCATGGAAAAGCATGTTTTAGAGCTTTACTCTTGCAATTGCCGCATTTGCTGTGGCTTATATATGCGTCAGATATAAAATATTCTCGATTACTTTTCTATCTATTCTACTTTTTTATCGGCAGCTCAGCTACGACCCTGGCTAAAACGGGTCGGCATTCAAATTTTTTCTTCTCTGACTGCCAAAAGTGTCGCATAAGCTTTTTTGTAGCCGTTACCCATTGAAAATGGATTAAGTAAGGGGTATATTGCAGCGGGAAAAAAATGTGGGAATATTCGATCTTTCGTATACAAAAATCACAAAATCGATAAATATCGAATGCGGTTTCTGTTATTTTACACTTATACAGTTTGACCTTCTTCATTTATCCTTCAGAATTTTAAAAGATTGATTTTTGGTAAATACACATATTTGACTGTCCACTTTAAACTCTGAAAATATGCCAAACGGACATAGCTAGAGACTCAAAATTTGATTTGTAATATATCCTAGTAAAGACAGGTATCAGGTATCTCCTAGTCGCGCACTCCCTACTGGTGCACTCTTGTTTTCCTTTTTATACCCTGAACCCATTGAAAATGGGTAAAAAGGGTATTATGTATTTGTGCAAATGTATGTAACAGGCAGAAGGAACCATATTCGACCCCATAAATTATATATATTCTTGATGAGCATCAACAGCCGAGTCAATCTAGCCATATCCGTCTGTCTGTCCGTCTGTCCGTCCGTCCGTCTGTCCGTATGTATGAACGCAAGGATCTCAGAACCTATAAGAGCTAAAGACTTGAATTTGACTTGATTTTAGCTGAAGGTCCTCCTAGTGCCCGCGCAGATCGAGTTTATTTCCGATATTCGATTACTTGCCCCGTTTCCAAGTAATCGATAAAAATCGATATGGAAATCCTGTTTTTTGAGCAATTTTGGCAAATAATATGAGTTAGAGTTACCAAACTTGACATGTAGCTTCTAGAATAGTATATATATATAAAGTAGAGGGTTCAGGGTATCCCCTAGTCGGGAGCTCCCGACTAGAACCTCTTACTTGTTTTTTCTGCTTTTTCTGCTGCTATATGCAGTATTTTTCACACTTGATATAACAGGCAGCCATTTGTTTGCACAGCAGCAGCAGCAGCAGCAGGAGCAGCCACGCCCAATGCCCAACGCCCATCGCCCACACTCAAAGGTCGCTCGACTGCATTGCTCACTTTGGCAATGCGATTTGCCAAGTGGGTATGTGTGCGCCTGCAGGTGTGCCTTTGTGTGTGTAATGGCTCCCAAAGCGCACAAACAAAACTGTCAACATGGCTGCAACGGGAGGCCGCGGGGGGCGAATGCTGCCAACTGCCAGCTGCTGCTGCTGCTGCTGTTGGATTCCTGCAGCTCCTCTTGGTCTGCTCTGCAAGTGCTTTGCTCGTTTGGCACGTCTAATGCAATTTTTATGCTGCACTGAAGCCAAAAACGCTTCCGTTTGTTCTATTCGCTTTGCTGAGCTGCTGTCTGGCCATTGTCTTCGCCAAGATGTGCCCAACAAAAGAGACGCGCGTTATTAAATTGTCGGCAACCCGCTAGATTTTCTTAGCCCCCCACACTCTCTTCCCATTTTCCACGCTTTTTCTGGCGCTTTTCATTGAGTTTATTCTGGTTTTTGTTTAGTCGCTTTGATCGAAATATCTGCCACATAATGCAATCGGCGAGGCGTGCTCCGACTTCACCGCCATTGACAGGCAGCTTCATTATATGCGCGCCGCATCAGGCTGCGTGTCAGCGACAGCCAAAGGATGCCCAAGGACACGTCTTTGTGTGTGTGTGTGTGTGTGTGTGTGTGCGTGAGTGTACCGGACCATGCTGATTGCAAGCGCATTTAACGTGCATTGTTATACTCTATACAGAATCGGAAACCTTCCCTTTACGCAGATGCATGAACAAAGGAATAGACGGCGCTAAGACAATCTCAGAGCAGCTTCTAAGTTTAAAGCTGTTTAAAGGCGTGTTTAGGTAAGTCCGCCAGTCTTAGTGAAAAACGCGTGGAAAGTTTATAATCTTAAGGGCACGTGTTTCGCCTCTCTGAGTGGAAAATTGGTGGAAAATTAACATAAATTCAATAAACCCATAACACTTTCTTTGTATATCATCATGATAGCATCTAATCGGATTAAAAATAAGTGTTACCGATTTAAAAAAAAAAAACTCATATTTCCGAGTGGTAAGTAATTGGGAATTTGTTAGTTAAATAATAGTTATTCGAGAAAGCCGAATAATTATAGATAGTAACTCAAAATCACATCTAGTTAGCTGATAAACAGAACTAGAAGCTTATTTTAGATGATTTTCACTTTTCCACTACAGTTAGTGGAAAATTGGTGAAAAACTAAAAGTTAAATTCAAGGATCTGATCAAAGTTCAGCAAAGGTCTTGTTGTCATGGCTCACTAATGCTCAACACAGAATATTGAAAGCCATGTGAATATATGATATATATATAAATAAAAGCTGGTTTAGCTTAGCACTCACCTTTAACCAGGGTAAGGATGCCCAGTGGCATGACGAGAACGGCAACCATTAGATCCGTGATGGCCAGCGACATGAGAAAGTAGTTGGTCACATTCTGCAGACGACGCTCCCAGGCGATGGCCAGACAGACCAGAATATTGCCCGCCGCGGTGCCAAAGACCAGCACCAAGGCGAGCAAGGCCCAATAGTTGTTCGCATCGAACGCGGGCTGTGCGGGGCTTGGCGTTGGCATTGCGGTTGCATTGCTTAAATTCCAATTGGCCAACGCCTGTTGGTCGGTATAGTTGGCCGAATCGGGCAGCTGCCAGAGCAGCAAATGCTGCAGCTGCTCGACGCTCATCTCCAGGCTGTTCCAACCATCCTCCTCCTCGCCGCCATCTTCAGCTGTGCTGTCGCTGTCGCTATAGTTGAGGGTGGCATAAACATCCTCCTCCATGTTGGCTATTTAGATTTTACTGTGCTCTACTTATATTCTTGCAGTTCTTGTTGTTGCATAGTAATTAGCCAGCGCATATGCGCGTGGGGCAAAGCGCTTTTCACGTGCCAATTCAAATTGCAAATTGCAAAATGCAGCGGAAATAGGCGCTCCAAAGGACACGCCAAGAATGCAAACGTGGCCTCAATGCCTTCTGGCCGGGGGCATTACGCTGACGACAGCCAAGCGGATATTGGTGGCAAACATTTTACGGCGCAAAATTACCGGAAGTTACGAGCTGCAACGGAGAACAGAGAGTGCGAATGACAGCTCGAACGAGCACTTCAATGGAAACAAGAAGCAGAGCTAGAAAACTATTATATAATATTGTAAAGGCGCTTACATAATAATTGCATGTTATATAAAAAAAAAAAAAAGAAGGAAGGAACAGTCTGGAAGGCCAAACAAATAAATAAATATAGTTTTCATATAAAGGCTAGGATATGCCTCCTATTTATATATTACACATTTAGCCGAGCTCTTCGTATTCTCATAGATCAAGTGCCCCCTCAGTCATATATGCAATATATATATATATTTATTCTTATACTATATATGATAAAGTATTCTGATTTTAAGCACTAACAACTCAATTTCGATTGAATATCAATTCGTAGGCTTAGCATATGGCAAGTCCATCAAAATAACATGACACACTCGCTTCTATCGAAAGCTTATTTTAGAATTCCCAACCAGTTATAACAACAAAAGCTACATATCAGGTTAAATAAATTGTGGCATTCATCATATGTGAATTAATGCGCTGCAATAAATTGAACACGTCTCTTACCACCGACTAACCAAAAGCTGTTGTTGCACTTGATTGCAAAAAAGTTTGCCAATAATTTAGAATATTTCAGTTTGGCTGAGCGATTGTTCAATGCACAGCAACAAATAAAGCTGTGAGTGTGTGTGCACGAGAAATGTGTATAATTAATTGAAACATATTTCGGAATGGAGCGCAGGATTAAAACCACAAAAGCCAAAACACAGAAAGTCACCCATACACACACATACACACACACACACAGAGACGGGAAAATATTAACCTAGAGCCGAAAGCAAACAACAGTCAAATGAAATTTATTTCCACAATTTACACACACAGACCGCAAAGGAAAACTTCTTCGTGTACGTCTCTTGGTTCATTTCGCTTTGAGAGTGGGCTACTTTTGAGGCCGGTTGGCCACCAGGCACTTGAGTGTGTGTACGCGTTTGTGTGTGTGTGTGCGTGTGTGTGTGTGTGGCACACTATATAAACAGTAGCCAGAAACAAGCCGCAACAACAATGACAAAACAATTCATGAGTAGCAAATGGAGCAGCGCTTGCCAAACTCGACTCGCCTCAGCGGCTTGTTGACTTTACGAGTGGCCCGCCCGCCCTCAGCTGCCCCGCCCACGCTTTCTGTGTCCAGCCGTCTGTCCGTCTGTTCTGTCCAATTTTCAAGTGTCAATGTTGTTGTTAATTAATTTTCCTGACTGACTGATGCATGCCAGAGATAAGAGTCAACACCTTCAGCTCCGGCTCTGGGTTAGAGCCTGACCTGAACCCTAGTCCAAGTGCCCAGTTCAGTTGCCTTGATAAAATGTTTTGTTCTCTTCTTGTTGTTATTGTTGTTGTTGTTAAGTGTTTGTTTTTGTTGTTGTTATTGGTGCTTGTGGGGCTGCTGCACCCGGCTAATGACAGTCAAACGACCACTTCAACTCTGTGTGTGTGTGTCAAGTGTTTAAATTTCCAGCTGTTCGCTCTTTACACAACTCTATATATCCTGTAGTTAAGCCGGGGCATATAGTGTTATAAATGTGTTTAAAATTAGAATGTGCCGTAAAAGTTGACTAGCTGACAACGTTGGAAGAAAGGAAGTGAGTGTTGGAAATGAACGAGTGAGTGAAAAACCGACACGAAAGGTAGAAAGCCACACAAAATTTAGTTAACTTTAAATGTTCTCTTAAAGAAAGCAATAATATGCCCTTTATACAACTCTATATATCCTGCAGTTAAGCCGGGGCAAATAGTGCTTAAAGTGTGTTTAAAATTAGAATGCGCCGTAAAAGTTGACTAGCTGGCAACGCTGGGAGTAAGGAAGTGAGTGTTGGAAATGACCGAGTGAGTGCAAAACAAACACGAATGGTATAAAGCCACACAACGTTCAGTTAACTTTAAATGTTCTCTTAAAGAAAGCCAAAATATGTCCTTGATTGACAAAATGTGTTCAATATTAATAAAATACATATATCTAAACAAGACTAAAGTTGCCTAAGTGGCCACACTGTGTACAAAGTGAGTGTTGAGAAGTGCGCAGTAAAGAAACAGGAAGTAAGATGTTTAAGGTTTAGTCTACTTTTATCTGTATTCGAGAAGAAATTACCCGGTTTCGCCAGGGTCGAATGACTAACGTTGCAAAAGGAAACGGAATCAAAATTGTTTGCGTAATTCTTGCCAAACTACAAACATATAAAAAGTTGCCACCACGCTTCTATGCATTGAAAACCGCTGCTAGATTTGAACCGGCAATCTTACGCTCGTTAGTCCGACGCGATGTTTTTAAATGGTTTTCATACAAACGTTGACCACCGTAGTTTTCCAATTGGAGGTCAAATAAGGGGACAACAAAGGTAAGAAATATGGGAAAGTTTAATTTTGTGTGTATATGTATATGTGCTGCAATGTTTTCAGCAATTGGGCTGGAGCCACAGGATATCCCATAGTCATTCAGAGTCAACAATAGCGTAAATAGCAAATATACCAACCTATAGGTATATATACAACTCGGCTTTTTCCCACATATAAATGGCATGTCAGCGCACAAAGCGAAGAGAGAGTCGACTCGGAGCCATAATTATTTGTCGGTGAGTGGGACTCTGTGTGACTGTGTGTGTGTGTGTGTGTGTGGCACGTCAATGGCGGCTATTTGGACATGAATTGCACAAAAGCCCAAATAGTCTGCATACACATATATATATATATATATATACATATAAAGGACTCGAACAGTATCGAATGAAAAGCAGCGCACCATTAGTCATATTAATCCCAGCAGAGTCATTAAGTCGTAAAACTGCGAAAGGTAGCAAAATGCCAGCAAATGGCAGCCGGGTCAAGCTGTAGGCTTTACTTTCTTCTGGCTTCTTCCTTTCTTTTTTTTTTTTTTTTTTTTTTTTTGACTGATATGAATGTATCATTGAGGTATTTACAAGAAAACAACGATACGTACATGCGTATATGCAGTCAGGTATTTGGGTCAATTCGGTCTGCTGTTTGCGTCCAGTCAACAAATGGATAAAGGCGACTTTAAGTTGCCCACGTCGTATACTTAATTTCGATAATGTGTTAAACATTGGGTAGAACAAACATCATAAGTGCAATTTGAAAAGTATTCATTCCAGAAAGTGGTTCCAACTGAAACCAAGTAACATTGAAGTTGGGCAAACAAAGAAAACACAACGGATGATGGCTAACATCTTCGAGCTGTAGTCGAAATTGAAATTCAATTTTTTATAAATTGTGTCTGTCAAAATCTGTGCTAAATTTAACATAAAGAGCCAGGCAAGTAGCATTAACATTAAGATAAGTTTTGGCTAATGAATCGCATGCTAGCCTATATATAGAAATATGAATTTTAAAGGACATGAAGGAGAGTTTGGGCTCTGCTTGAAAGAAGACAAAATAACTATGAGATCTTTGGGATAGAAGCAGCTGGGCAAAGAATTTGTCTCCCCAGCTCAGATGCAAAGTAGAGTTAAAAACATGAATAAAAGGTAAAAATCTGTTAAGACTTAGGGAAGTTATGGCGCGTGTTAAGTCTAGGAAGAGTGTTAGAAGAGGATTTGAGAATTTGTACGAGCCTAACGAAGAGCAAGTGCAGCTTTGCAGGCTGCAAGCGCTGTTTTCTGCTCGAGTTATTTGTACTGCAATCTGTGAATGAAATGAAAAAGGACACAAATTGCGTAGATGCCGGGTAAGCTGTGCAAATATTTATATTAAAGTATTTTCAAGTGCCAGCAACAACAAAAGACACAACCTGCCACACACACGCACACACACCACAACTGTCGAGTGTCGACTGTCGACTGTCGACTGTCAACGGGGTGTCGTTTGGCATTTTGATTAGAGAGACGGCAGCTTAAAAGCATATTTAATTTAATTTCTTGCATTATTTATTTTTAATATTCTTTTTTTTTGGCGGCGATCAAAGCGGCGCGCAGCTTCAACATTTTCCAGGCAATTTAAATTTGAATTTGAACCAGCAGCAAGAGCAGAAGCTGGAGCAGAAGCTGGAACAGGAGCAGAAACAGGTGCCTTCAACGGCTTTTGATGCAAATTAATTTCATTTATTTCTTCTCTTTTTATTTGTGTATTTTCTGTAATTGAATTTTGAAATTGATTTCTTTCAGACGCATATTTTATCTATAATTATTGTATTTGCATTCGAGTGAAGCTCTTAAAGCTGGCCAATAAATTAAATAAAATGCGATACAGGAAGTCGCAACTGTAGTCTACTTTTGTGCGCTGATGTAATGGCCAAAATACCTCGTGACCCGAGTTTGTGAGTTCACCAAAAATTCTATTCGCTTTTTCCTTTGTGCCGCACCCAACAGACAGGTCGACCGAGAGACAGACAGTCGGACAGACAAGCAGCTCCTTCAGCAATTAATCACAGCTACAGTTGCGGTTTTTGCGCAACCAGCTGGGGGATATATATCTATATATATACATATATATATATATACACGTTCAGGTGAGTGGACGAATTAACATTTATTTTTAGTCCGCACTTAATGATGGGGCCTGTGCAAGAAATAACGAGAGCATCGCTACAGGAAGTCACATAATAACCGGAAAAGGCAACGCACTTGACAAATATTTACATGCCCTCCCACGTTTTAGGGGTATTCCCAGATAGCTGAAGCATTGAAGAAATATCTGAAGTGAGACATATTGGAAGCTATAAACTAAGGCATATGCATTTAATTTTAAAGAGTATCAAGCAAATATTTACATGCTCTTTACACTGCTTTTTGGGGTATTCCCAGGAAACTGAAGGATTGGATATAGATTAAATAACAGTTATAAACTAAAGCATATGCGGATTCTTAGCAGAAGCCATTTTACAGGGTACTAAATCTAACCCTAACTAAAATCTTGATTAATATTTACATGCCCCTAACACTCTTCCCATACAGCTTTAAGATCTTCTAAGATATCAGAAACAAGCGAAAGCATCTACGCAATATCAA